TAATAACATTTTTTGAAAAACTAATTGAAACGGTAATATATAAATTTTAGATTTCCATAGCTAATTTTTTTTTTTTTAATTGAAACTAATAATATGCTTTGTGGTTAATTAAATGAAAAAAATAAGGGAAAAACCATAAAAAAAAATACTAATTTTCATAAAAATCACTGCATAGCAAAAGATCACACAATTAAATATTTTAAAGCAAAATTTAATGTATATTTATTGGTTATAGAGGGAAGGCTCAGTGCCTATCAATTAGAGAGGACAGGGAAGACCCTCACTATATTTATTGCCTTTTTAATGCATGATTTTAATTGCACTAGTACCAAAAAAAAAAAAAAAATAGGATCATTGAAACAAAAATAATTCTTTGCAAACTTATAGAAATTAAAATGATTTCTAATTAAACCCTTAAAGCTAAGTAGTACATTTAGACTTGGAAATTGCAAAATATTAAAAGTCATCGCTGATTTTGCTTGAGATTTTAAACAATTTGCAAAACATATCTTGGCCATAATTTGTATTTTTGTTTGAATTCATTTTATTTCTAAATAAAATTTTAAAAAAACAATCTGCGGCAAATTAACCCGAATGCAAATTAAAACGTGTGAATAAAAATATATTTAAAAATCAAGAAGTTGAACTTAAAATGTCATTCTTTAGATATATATATTTTTTTAAAAATCATACATTTTGATTAATAGGATGCATAAACAATAAACGTTGATTCATAAAACGTGAACTCGTATAAAATATCTGATAATCATGTTATGATATTTTTAAGTGCTCGTGATGCAAGGGGAAAAAATTTTGCTTACTTCGTATTTCAACACACTTTAGCAATTGTGTGGAACTACATACTAACACATCTGGGTTGGCAACTATGCAACAATTAGAGGATAAAATATCAACGTTCAACCAGAAAGAAGTTTAAAGCGTTCACCCTATTACATTTTGTTTTACAATTGTTTCATACAATAAATTTTTAATATATATTTTATCATTTGACTTAATACCCATTAAAAATATTAGTTTTTATCTTTCAGTAATAGGGCAATTCATGATTATGTCACACACGTGAGCAAAATATATATATATATATATATATTTGTCAAAAATTACTTTTAATAATAAGTATCCATGCTTGAAATATCTTATTGACAACGGTGAATACATAAAAGTAATTTCATATACATGTTCAAAACAAAAAATTTTGTGAAATTATAATGTCTTACTACCTTTTTGACGTAGAATCGCCCAAAAAACTTACAATTTTGTACTTTTATTTAATTACTCTTTAATCATCTTTTTTTTTAAAATTTAGAACTTTTATAACTTTAGACAAAGTGTAAAATTTTAGAATTTCGGGGTTCCTCTTAGCGAAAATATTTGTTAATAATATTTAAAATATTTGTCTCCTCTAAAATATTTGTTAGTTATCAGGAAGAAAACTATGTAGTTCATTCTTGTGTGAAGACTTACAGAATCTCATAATCAATCAGGTTAGAAAGTATAGGTAGGGTGACCCGGGGTAATTCACGATCACTCTGTTTCTGGGGTAAATAATGATCACCTAAGTTTTAGTTTAAAAAAAAATTTTTTTTTTTTAAATTTGAGACATGGACAAGAATGCTTGTACACTTTACTAAAGTATAACTACATTTACTTAATAATAGTTTTTTGTTTAATCTAACAAAATAAGTATCTTTTAAACTGCTTTCTGTATTTTCCATTTCAAAGATGGGTTTCAAAATGTGCACATTTCTGCAAAGATCCCCTTCCTTCTCTTAATAATAAATATTTTGAGTCATTTTCTTTTTCTTTGATATAAAAGTAGAATTAGCTTTTGTTTAATTGCTTCATATCTACTGTAAACATTATAATTGATTATAGGAAACTATATCAAATGTTGCCCCCTACAAATGGGGTAATTATTGATCACTGGGGTAATTCCTGATCATTGTCATTTCTT